AACTTGATATAACTAAATGTCTACCAGGTCATCTTGATATAAATAAATGTCTACCATTGCAACTTGATATAACTAAATGTCTACCAGTTCAACTTAATATAACTCAATGTCTGCCAGTTCATCTTGATATAACTCAATGTCTAACAAGGCAACTTGAATAACTAAATATCTACCAGGTCAACTTGATACATCTAAATGTCTACCAGGTCAACTTGATATATCTAAATGTCTACCAGGACATCTTGATATAACTAAATCTCAACCAGGACATCTTGATATAACTAAATCTTAACCAGGGCATCTTGATATGAACGTGTGGCTGAGGACCTCATGGATAGATGAGCGTTTAGCCTGGGATCCTAAAGAATATCATGATATTGACTCCATCAGGAATATATATAAGTTGTAAGTTCTGTTTGTATGTTTGTTTGTCCGACCATAACTCAGGAACCCCTGAACCGATTTGCCTCAAATTTTGATTGGGGCCCTCGGGAGAGCCACATGAATGTTCTTAGCTTGCTTTTTAGATTATAAGTTGAGTGGGTCGAAATAACGAAAATTGTGTCTCCCTGTAAAATCGTTCAAATGCGGGTATACGGCGGGAGTAACTATGCTTAGTGCTTTCCTTGGGTAATGCTGAGTTCCTAAGCTAGTATTTCAATATATTTAACAGTTAATTTATTTTAATAATCAACGATCAAACAGTGAGATTCGTAAACACCTGGAAAAGACATACAACATTTAGCTGTACAGAGTGTAATTAATGTTGTTTTATTTGGAATAGTTTAACTATAGTACAGGGTGTCCCAAAAAAACATGAGAATTCAGTGACGAATTCGATATCGTCTTTGTAATGAATTAGCTTTGTAATACCTAATTTCAAAAGCCATAATATTATTATGTCTGCTAGAGTTTATTTTATGGAAAAGGGTAAAAGACTGTAATGATGTGTTTATAATGTCTTCGCAAGATGAACAGATGAATTCGGACATGTTTAGTTTACTCTAATGTATACTGCAATTTTCTTGTTTTACTAAATACACCCTTATATGCGGTCAAAGCATAAACAAACAAAATGTAAACATAGCAGATGAAACTCTTACTGATTACAGCTTTCTCAGTAGGTATCACTATACTAAATCAAAGAATTATTTAAAAAGACGATATCGATTTTGTCAATGAATTCCCATGTTTATTGGGACACCCTGTAGTTTGAAAATCAAACGATTAAATGAAGAAAGTCTGGGAGCACTGTACAAATGCCGTGTTTCAAGTTCATTGACCAATATATAATCATAGTTTAAGTCTTACAGTCGTCTTTCTATTCCACAGTTTATGGATCTCTCTATACATAGTAGTTTTTTTTTCAAATAACTAGATTTCTGCGAATCAAATATGTTGATATTCTGATTTCTGAAACTTAAAATATACACCATCAGAGTTCCAGCTCATAATATCTGGATTCCTGATCTAGAGGTTTATAACAATCTAGAATATGGATCAGGTAATATACACC